AATAAGGAGAGTACCAGGGCTGGCTGGTTGCTTCTGGCATCTTTGGGTACAATGACAAAGGAAAAGTCTGAACTCAGTGATATAATTGAGTGGCTCCAGATGTGCATAAACAGTCTAATGGTTTCTCAGTGTGCTCTGGAAGAGAATCTTCTATTCCGAAGCCATAGAGCTCGGTTCCAGCCACTGAGAGGGTCAGCAGTTAAAGTAAGGGCACTGGTGGATAAGGAATTGGACCCTGCACTTGGCATGGAGATGCATGAAAGGATCCTACTGAGAATTTGAACCCTCAGATTCTCAAGAGCTCATCTCACCTGAAGAAGTAGTCTCTCCACACTTAGCAGAGAATGCAACCATATCCCAGACCCCTTTAACAAAATCCTCTCTGCATTTGCCTAAGGCTAATCCTTCATTGTCTGCCAGACAGCTTTGACTTTCCTGGAAGAGATGCCAGGCTAGATACTGATGTCCCACAGGGCCCACTGATAGTTATTTTGTGAATGCTATAACAAAGCTTGCCTGAAGATCAGAGTGCAGAGCTAAACTACCAGTTAGTTATAGAGGCCAGTAAGTGGTGACACACACCTTTAATAGCACTCTCTGGAGACAGTGCATACGGATATCTGTAAATTCAAGGCCACCCTTGACTAGACAAAATTGAATCTGCCCCAAAAAGAAACAGAACTAACAAAGTTGATCCCAACAATTGGGATCACATGCCTTTAATCCCAGCACTAGGAAGGTGGAAACCGAGTGATATGGCTGGGCAGAGAGGGGAGTATAAGGTGGGAGGAGACAGGAGCTCAGGGCAGTCTAAGGACAAGATCGCCCTTTTGGTCTGAGCATTGGTAGAGATAAGAATTCTTTAGTGGCTGGACACTCTGCTTCTCTGATCCTTCAGCTTTCACCCCTTGGTAACCGACTCTGAGTTTTATTATTAAGATCAAAGAGAATTTGTGCTGCATCTAGATCTATCCAGACTTTAAGTGGGCTCCTCCTAAAGGGGTGAGAGAAAGTGTAGTTTATGAGGAGGTGCTCCATACCACTAAAGAGCTTAATGAATTTACCAATTCGTTCAAGCAGAAGTCTGGGGAGTATGTATGGGGATGGATTTTAAGGGTGTGGGATGATGGTGGAAGGAACATACAACCGGATCAGGATGAGTTTATTGACATGGGCCCTCTGAGTGGAAATTCTGGGTTTAATATGGAAATGATACTTTTTTTTTCTTTTTTTTTTCTTTTTCTTTTTTTTTGTCAAAAGCTTGATTGGTTTGCTGAAGCATTTGCCAAAAGATGGGCTACTGAAAAAGAGATGGAGATACCTGATATCCCTTGTCTTAGTGTTGATAAAACTAGAGTGAGTACACTGTAAAATCCAATCCTCTACAATAGGAAGGCCCAGAAGACATGGCCTTCATTAGTTTTATAAGAGGAAAAATGGTGAAGGGGCACCAGCACATTTGAAGATCTTTGTGGTCACACTTTTCCTTGTACCAGACCTTAGGGTTGGATATGTTGCTGCTGGTTAGATGAATTAGATGTGATTGGTTTTGTAGTTATCATAATGGGCAGCATAGGCAAAGCTGTGTACATAATGGCCTAACTTATAATGGGCATCATAGGCAAAGTGATTTTTATGGTGGCATACTCCTATGGGCCTTTGGAGCTGGCTAATTAGTCAATGGTGTTTTCAGGAGTGAAATAGATGAGAAGCCTGTTTTTATTTGATCTGTATAAGCAGAAGAATAATAATAAGAAGAATTCTCAAACAAAAGAAAGACTACATTGGATTGTGGCAAGAGGGACTCTTGGCACATGAACAAATTTCCAAATGAGCCTATTTGTAGACTCAGAATACCTTGAATGAAAGGGCATCCAAGTTCCCCTAAGGAAGGACCTTGCTAAATTCACTAAGAGCTTACTGTTGGCATTTCTGCCATTCTTCCCAAGAAGGATGTGTGGCCTTTTACAAGGGTGACTGTACACTGGGGGAAAGAAACAATCAGACTTTCCAGGGTCTATTGGATACTGTTCTGAATTGACAGCAATTCCATGAAACCCCAAAAAGCTCTGTGGACCTCCAGTTAAAGTATGGGCTTATGGAATCAGGTAGTTAATGGGGTTTTGGCTGAAATCCAAATCACAGTGAGTCCCCAAACTCATGCTATATTTATTTTTCCAGTTCCAGAATGTGTAATTGGGATAATTGTACTCAGAAGTTGGCAGGATTCCCACATAGGTTCCCTGAGTTATTGAGCGAGGGCTATTATGATTGGAAAGGCCAAGTGGAAGTCATGGGAGTTGTACCAGGGAAAGTAGTGAACCAAATACAATATTGCATCCCAAGAGGAATTGAAGAAATTAATGCCATGGAGGACTTGAAAGATGCAGGAGCTGGGCGTTGGTGGCGCACGCCTTTAATCCCAGCACTCGGGAGGCAGAGGCAGGCGGATCTCTGTGAGTTCGAGGCCAGCCTGGTCTACAAAAGCTAGTTCCAGGACACCCTCAAAAGCCACAGAGAAACCCTGTCTCGAAAAACCAAAAAAAAAAAAAAAAAAAAAAAAAAAAAATGCAGGGATGGAGCCGGGTGATGGTGGTACACGCTTTTAATCCCAGCACTCAGGAGTCAGAGGTAGATGTATCTCTGTGAGTTGGAGGCTATCCTGGCCTACAGATTGAGTTCCAGGACAGCCAAGGCTACGCAGAGAAACCTGTCTCAAACAAACAGTCAAAAACAAAACAAAAGAAGATACAGGGCTGGTGGTTCCCACCACATCTCCCTTTAACTCTCCTATCTGGTCTGTGCAGAAGATAGGTGGATTGTAGAAAACTCCATCAATAATAACTCGTATTCTCAGTTCTGTACCAGATGTGGTGTCAGTACTTGAGCAGATTAATACATCTGGTCCGTGGTTTGCAGCTATTGATCCAGCAAATGGCTTTTCTTTCTTTTCTTTTTTCTTTTTGGTTCTTCACGATAGGGTCTCAGCCAGGCGGTGGTGGCGCACACCTTTAATCCCAGCACTCGGGAGGCAGAGGCAGGTGGATCTCTGTGAGTTCGAGACCAGCCTAGTCTACAGGAGCTAGTTCCAGCTGCAAATGCTTTTTCTTAAGTACCTATCCATAAGGACCACCAGAAGCTTTTTGCTTTCAGTTGGCAAGGCCAGCAGTATACTTTTACAGTATATCGCTGTGTCATAGTGTGGTTCAAGGAGATCTTGATCATCTGTCTCTCCCACAAAATTTCACACTGCTGTACTCTGTTGATGACATTGTGCTAATTGGACCAAGTAAGCAGGAGGTAGCAACTTCTTTGGATTTGTTAGTCATGCCTATGTGCATCAGAAAATGGGAAATAAATCCAATAGAAATTCAAGGGCCTTCTACCTTGAATTTTTAAAGTGAAATTCTTAGGAGTCCAGTGGTGAGGGGCATGCAGAGATATTCCTTCTAAGGTCAAGGATAAGTTATTACACTTGGCCCCTCCCACCACCAAGAAACATTTAGCGGGCCTGTTTGGATTCTGGAGACAGCACATTCCCCACTTGGGTGTGTTACTCTGGCTCATATGTCAAGTGACTCGGAAAGCTGCTAGCTTTGTGTGGGGCCTGAAACAGGATAGGGTCTTCAACAGCAGGTCCAGGCAGCTCTGCAAGCTGCTCTTCCACTTGGACCATACGATCCAGCAGACCTGATGGTATCTGAGGTGTTAGTGACAGATAGGGATGCTGTTTGGAGCTGTTGGCAGGCCCCTTAGGTGAATCATAGTAGAGACTTTGGGATTTGGAAGCAAGGCTCTACCAATAGCTGTAGAAAATTATTCTCCCTTTGAGAGACAGCCCTTGGCCTGCTATTGGGCATTAGTGGAAACTGAACGTTTGACAATGGGCCACCAATTTACCATATAACTGAGCTGCTCTTCATGTGTCGGATATTATCTGACCCACTGTGATGGCTGTTCTTGGTTGTCAGCTTGACTATATATCTGGGATGAACTACAATCCAGAAATGGAGGGCACTCCTGTGAGAGATACTCTGCTTGGCTAGAAGTAGGTAAATCCACTTCTAGTCCAAACCTTTGAGGAGGGAAGACAGGCCTCTGATCTGCAACCTGAGGTAGGATGACACATGGCTTTAATCCAGATTTTGAGGCAGGAAGACACATGCCTTTAATGTGGGCCACGCCTTCTGCTGGAAGCCTATAAAAGGGCAATGGGAGAAGGAAGGTTTTGCTCTTTGCCTGCTTGCCCTTGCCCTGCCAGCACATCCATTCCTTCACTGGTATTGGAGCTGCTTCTGGATTCCAGCACATACAGAAGACCAGCTGAGACACCCAGCCTTGTGGGACTGAGCAACTACTGGATTTACCATTCACAACTAGTCATTGTTGGATTAGTGGGACTGCAGCCTGTAAGTCATTCCAATAAATCACACACACACACACACACACACACACACACACACAGAGGGGGGAGAGAGAGAGAGAGAGAGAGAGAGAGAAAGAGAGATTGAGAGATTCATTTTGTAAGTTCTGTGAGAACCCTGACTAATACAACCATAAAGTAGGACATACATAGCAACAATCCATTATCAGATGGAAGTGGTGTATACATGTTTGAGTCCAAGCAGGTTCTAATGGTCCAAGTGAAGTACATGAAGAAGTTGCCCAAATCCCTATGGTTTCTATTCCAGTTTCAGTGTCTTCTGCACCCAAACATGAACCTATAGGCTTGTGAGGTGTGCCCTATGATAGGTTAAGGAGGAGAAGATTAGGGCCTAGTTTACTAGATTGTTCGGCACCCTTACCCTAGCTATTCCTGTCACTGCCCAAATGGCCCATGAACCAAGTGGCCATAGTGGCAGACATGGAGGCTATGGACTTGACAACATGGACTTCCTCTGACCAATGTTGACTTGTCTACAGCTGCTGCTGAGGGCCTCATCTGTCAGCAGCAGAGGTCAACAGTGAGCCCCAGATATGGCACCATTCCCTGCGATGACCAGCCAATAACCTGGCAACATATAGTTGCATTGGAGCTTGCTTCATAGGAAGGCCAACATTTTTCCTTACTGGAACAGATATTTATTCTTGTACATCTGCTTCTCTAGAACTGCTATCTGTGGATTTACCGAATGCTTTCTTCACCATCATGGCAATCAGCACAGCATGGTTGATGACCAAGAAACTGATTTTACAGCCAGAGAAGTATGACCTTGGGCCCACATTTTACCATGTTCCCACAATCTTGATAGAATGTTGAAATGGCCTTTTGAAGGCACAGTTAAAATACCGATCAAGTGGCAGTAGCCTGCAGGGCAGGGGTGGGGTCCTCCACAAGGTGATAATATGCTTTGAATCAGGGTCCAGTATGTGGTACGGTTTCTCCCATAGCCGGGATCCACTGGTCCAGGATTCAAGGGGATGAGATGGAATGGTTCCATTCACTGTCACCTCTAGTGACCTACTAGAGAAATTTTTGCCTCCTATCCCTGCCACCTCTGCTGGTCTAGATGTTTTGGTTTCAGGGGGGAGGTGGAGCGCTCCTACCTGGAGCCACAACAAACATGCCATTGAACTGGAAGCTCAGACTACCACCTGGACACTTTGGGCTTCTGGTGCCTTTAAAAGCCAACAGGCTAAGAAAGGAGTAAAGTAAAAGTATCTGGAGGGTGATTGACCCAGATTACCATGGGGAAACTGGATGTCTCTCCACATAGAGGTAAGAAGGATTATGTCTGGAGTGCAGGAGCTCCTTTAGGGCATCTCTTGGAGCTACCATGTCCTGTGATTAATGTCAGTGGAAAACTACAACAACCTAATCCAGACAGGATGGCAAAGGGCGCAGGCCCTTCAGGAATGAAGGTATGGGTCACTCCTCGGGGGAAGAGCCAAGACCTGTTGAGGTGCTTGCTGAGGATGGAGGAAATCCAGAAAGGGAGGTAGTTGTAAATACCAGTTACGGCTACGTGACCATCGAAGAAAGGAAGATTATAATTGATAAGTGTTTCTGTCAAACTGTATTTTGTTTTTAATTTCTTCATGTAATATGACAACTGATTAAGGTAATATCAGTGGTTATTATCACATTTAAGTTATGAGACAATGTAAGAGTAAGCATTCCTCAAGGGATGTCACCACTTACTCTAAAATACATAACACATCTGAGGTTGTACATGGCATAGTTATATGATGTTAGGTAGAATTCTGACCTGTTTATTGTTTTCATTTAGACAATAAATATGATATAAGGTATGGCTGCCTGGGGTCCAGCCTCCAGCAGCACAGGGCTCGGAAGGAATCTACGGACAGCATTGGCGCACACTTGGCTTTCTATCTGAGGGTTAGTGTTAGAGGAAAAAGACACTCACACTCACTTGATGGTTTCCTTCTTTATTCCCTATTCTTCTGTATTCTTTCATGTTCCTTCTACTGTATACTTTTTTCCTACAGCTTATATACCTCACAAAGTTTGTCAAGCAATATAGAAATTACAATGTGGTTAAATTCTGTTTTTCAAGTGAATGATTATAATGAATACAGGTAAAAACATGTTTTTCATCTCCTTTACATGATTAAACATTTTACATATTACAGGTGAAAAACAAATTACTCCAAGAATCCACATACATTCCTACCCAAGCAACTTATTATAGTTTAATCATGTGGGCAAGCAAGCTAGTCTTCTTAGTCAGGTTTTTTACTGGCAGGCTGTGTTTGCAGTTACAAAGAAAGGGCCAATTACTTTATTACTTATCTTGAAAGGTAATCTTGTAAGGGATCTTAAAGGAGTCACAAACCTAAACCTTTATATATGAAAAAGAATCAGCTTATGAATAATTTCTTATATCAGGAGATTGAGGGCAAAAATGGGTACAAGGAATTAATCATCACCTTTGATCATCATCCAACCTTAGCAAGGAAAGTACACCAGCTAGTAACAATTGGGCTGCTTTGTATTTTTTGACCTCAGCTATGTGTCCTTGTGAACTTTATATTGTTTTCTGGGATTTTTTCATCTCAAAGCTGTTATCAAAACATCTAACCTGAAGTTATTTTAAAGCTTTGTTTCAGCTAATGATGCCCACTGAAACCTGTGACAGTGCCTTTCAGCATTAAGATTAGAGGAATTTGAGCCAGCCTGGCTCCTGGGTTGCAATTGTTTTCTTAATGATTAACTTGAGTTATGATCTATGCAGTGCAGCTCCTTAGGTGAAACTCATAGGCCCTAATTGTGTAACATTTCCTTGTATTTATTTTTGTTCATCAAAACTCAGTATGAACAAACATATTATTATCAGTTAGGCAGTACAGGGAGGAATCATCTTCATAATAATCCATAGGTAAAAATGCCCAGTAGAACAGAATGTTTCCATGAGATAAACACACTGCGTTACAGGCAGTGGGGATCTCCCCAAGCCATTCATTCATACCATGCCAGATACCAGAGAAAGATAGTAGCAGCAAACATGTAAAGTCGCAGCAGAAGCAAAAGACTTTCTGGGGTCTGTGGTCTCACAGACCTCACTCTTGCCTTCCAACATTGACCTAGCAGAGAATTTCCTCCTGGTGGGCTGACACCTTGGACTTCATTTGCTACCTGCTACTACTCTGACATGCCCACCAACAATAAGGAAATGTGATTGGTGTCAAGTTGACAAGGAGTGGGCTTGTGATGGTTGATCTTGGTTGTCATCTTGACTGCATCCTGAATCAATTAAAAACCAAGCAGCTGGGTACAGCTGTGGGAGATTTCCTTAATCAGGTCATTCGAAATAGGAATGCCCACCCTGAGTCTGGGCCACATCTGGTGTTAGTTCACATAAAAGGACATAAAAGAAGCATTTTGTCTGCTGACCCTCACTGTCTCTGTCAAGTTTGTCTATCCTGCTGCTCAGGCATCCTTTGCTGGTATTAGAACCTCCTTTTGGATTACAACATAGACCGAAAACAAGCCAAGACATCCAACCTTGTTAACTGAACAGTGGCTTAATGACCTTTCGGTTGGGAGACAGCCCTTGTAGTAGTCAAACCACAACATTTAAGCCTTTCAAATAAATCAGAGAGAGAGAGATAGTGTGTGTGTGTGTGTGTGTGTGTGTGTTTGTGTGTGTGTGTGTTCATCTTATCATTTCTGTTCCTCTAGAGAACCCTGAATAGTACAACAGCTAATACTTCATATGCTAATTTTAAAAATAAAAAGGTATAAAAATAACTTTCATGAAGTCAAAAAAACGTTTTCTTGTTCGGAGCATTGTTTTTCAGAACATTCTGTTCTTGTTTCGGTGATGTACATTCATTAATTTTTTTTTTTGTTTTCTTCTGTTTCCTTTATTGCCACTTTTTCTTATTTGCCCTTTGTGCATCCTTGGGAGTTGACCTAGGGCTTTGTGAAGCTTAGGCAAGCACTGTAATACTGACCTATATCCCTAGGCCCCCTTCTGTTTTCTATTTTGAAATGAGGTCTTGTTAAGTTACCCACTGTGTGGCCCAAGCAGCCCATGAACTTGCCATCTTTCTGCCTCAGCCTCCCTAACTGCTCTATTTACAGGCTTGCATTATCAGCCCTGGCTTGTCTTGTGTTTCAATTTCTGGCTTACATGTTTTTATTTATTTATGTGTTTGTGTGTACCTGCACGAGGAGGCCTTTGATATCATCCCTGGGAGGTGATCCAATGGCAGGGTCTCTCGTTGGGCTAAAATCTCACCAAGTCGGCTAGACTAACTGGCCAATAAGCCCAAGGAGTCTGCTTGTCAGTGCCTCCCCAGCTCTGGGGTTTTAAGTGCATACCAGCATGCCCAGCTTTGCTTTTCTATGGGTTCAAGGAACTCAGGTCCTCTTGCCCACGAAGCATGGGCTTTACCAGCTGAGGCACATTTCCCTAGCCTGTGGTTTTGTTTCTTCGTTCTCTTTGGTATCTCTGCTTACATTTGATAGTGAAACACTACAGTGTTAGCCATGGTGTCATACACTAGGAAGGTTGTGTTGAGTTCAAGGCCAGCCTGTGCTGGCCTAGTGAGCTCTAGGCCACTTTTGGAAATTTTAAAGTGAGAAAGAAGGAAGATGCTCATTTGGGGTTTTGTTTTGAGGTTCTGTGTAGCTCTGGCTGTCTTGGGACACTGTGTAGCCCAGCCTGGCCTCAAATTCATAGAGATCCATTCTTGTACTGGTTAGTTTTGTCAACTTGACACAAACTAAAGTCAGCTGGGAAAACAGAACCTCAACTGAGGAATTGCCTCCATCAGATTGGCCTGTGAAAGTCTGGGGACATTTTCTGAAATAATGATGAATGTGGGCAGGGCTAGCCCACTGGAGGTGGTGCCACCCTGGGCTCCCTGGGTTGTATAAGAAAGCAGTTTGAGCTAGCCATGGTCTCTGCTTCAGTTCCTGCCTTGACTTCCTTCACTCAGTGATAACCTAACCTAACCTAACCTAACCTGTAAGCTCAGTTACTCCCTTTCTTCTCCAAGTTATATTTGGTCATGGCGTTGGTGACAACAATAGAAAGCAACTATGCCAATCCCCTACCAAGTTGTTTTTCCCACATCTTAGATAAGAAAACAGTCATTTCACTGTCCCTTAGTCTGTTTCCTTGTTTCTCACACCTAATTTTCATTTTTCTTCTAAAGACCCCTTAGCCCGGCATGAAAGAGTCAGAACAAAGAAAGGACAGATCCTTGTGCTTTTCTGTCCCTTTTGGCCTTCAAGTGATAGAAGTACTTCCCAGGGAGGGGTTTAAAGAAGTGAGACACAGACTGAGTGTCCTGTGTCACTCTGGAGTTTGTAGGAGTCTGAGTGTTGGTCTTTGAGCATCATTGTTCTTGTGCAGCCACCTGCCCCAGATACTAACATTCTGAGACTGATGAGCGCCCAACACAGTGGGTGTGGCCAGAGGCTTCCAAGGAGGCTAGTTCCTGATGTGCACCCTCTGTTTTCCCGGCAGTGTTTTCTATTTACATGTCTGATGAAGATTGCTTTTTGTGTTTCATTTTCTAGTTACGAGAAACCTCCTCCTGGGTTTATAAAGGTAAGCGACTGTAGGCTTGGTTACTCTGTATACTTGGGGCTTAGTGGTTCACTAGGAAAAAATGGTGTATTTTTTAAATCTCCTTATATGAAAACATTGTTTCTTTTCATTAGATACCAGGTGGATCCTAATTTTGGTCTTTGTCCCAAAACATACATACATACATACATACATACATACATACATATCTTTCTAGAAATTTAGTCAGCTATCATACCCTGTTCCAAGGAGCTATTGCAAACACACAGAAGTCCCTGCGCTCCCTTTCTGTCTCTGTGGCAGTATCTTCCAGAAGCTCTGCTGTCCATTGTTCTTGTCTGCCTCACTCAGCCATCTCCTCAGTGCAGTTAGGGTTGGAGTCTTGAGAGCCCTCAGCTGAGCCTGTGAAAATACCTGACAGGACAAACACTGCAGCCTAGCAGCAGGTTCAGGGTGTTTCAGTAGCAGGGGACACAGAGAAACAGCCAGAGGCCACAAGACTTTCAGTAAAAGAAAGATTGTAAATGTAATCACCTATCTCTAGTATTTTAGAATGCCTTTCTCCTCCCACAGACTGTGAGGGGATAGAACCTGTTTGGCCTATTTTAATGTCAGAGTGTGGAGGGGAGGTTACAGGTCATTCCTGCATGAGCTTGTGCTTCACAGTGAGATGGAACTATTTCTTCTTGTGTAGTTCTTTCCCTGACAGAATGTCTCTCCCGGTTCCCAGAGGATGTTATTATGGAGGGTATTGTCAAACAGTTAGGATGCAGGAAGCAAGGACAGTCTTGTTTTGGTTTTGGTTTGTTGGGTTTTTTGGTTTCAGGTTTTTGTTGTTATTGTTCTTGTTCTGTTGTTTACACACTGTTATCTTCCTGTAGGAGGATGAGACAAAGCCAGAAGACTGTATACCAGATGTGCCGGGCAATGAACATGCCAGGGAGTTTCTGGCTCATGCACCAACTAAAGGACTTTGGATGCCTCTTGGGAGAGAGGTCAAAGTTATGCAGTGTGAGTGAGAACGGGTTTGAGTGACATCTCTGTGGCAGTCTGTCTTGTCACTAAACAAGATGCATGTGGGTGGGTATGTCATGAACAGGTTTATTTAGCTCACAGTTCTGACCAGGGTCTACACAGTGCAGCAGCAACATCCTGGCCTATGTTCCTGCTTGCATCATACATGATGGAGAAGCCGAAGGAGTATTCTGAAGGGATACACATGCAGGCAGTGATGAGATGGGGGGACAGTCACTCCAGACCTGGCCTGTGTTCCCATTAGTGAGTATTTGGTCCCCTTGACCAAAACCTGCCTCTAAGCACCACATCTTATAGGGTCCTCTAACCTGCACTACCACACTTGGGACCAGGTTTTCAACAGGAACCTTTGGGGGACAAGTCAAATCCAAACCACAGCACACCTCTGTACACACTGGTTATGTACTGCACTTGGCAGTACCACAGTCTTTTATCTGGTAATCTGGCTTGGTGTGTGTGTGTGTGTGTGTGTGTGTGTGTGTGTG